AGATGAAGTTGGAAGTGCAAAAGATTTCATTAGGCTTTTTTTTTTTTTTCTTGTTTTCTCTGTAACATTTACTTTTTGGCCACAAGACCCTAAACACAATTTCATAGTACAGGTCATGCATAGCTTGCAAGTCAAACATTTTACAACTACTGTCTAACTACTATTTTTGGACAACAGATTCACGTGCAGCTAATGATCCCAGAAAAGGGGCTTAATAAAGCACTCTTTAAGCTTCACTGATCATCTCTTGGCCCAAAGTAAGTAATAACCGCAAAGGGCAATCAATGAATTTTACTCTGTCGTACTTGAGATCACATATTTAAGCCTGGAAAGTAATGTTCTTTACCCACTGCATGTTACTAGACTACAGACTCTCTTCTTTGCCTTCACTTTGTTACTCCATTCACACCTCAATGCCATATACCAATGCACAACCATTAGGACTTGAGTCCAATATGGCAGCCACTAGCCACATGTGGATATTTAAATTACTTAAAATTAAAAATCCAGTTCCTCAGTTGCACTCACTCCATTTTAATTGTTCAATAGCCAGTGTGGCCAGTGGCTACTGTATTGGGCAGCATAGATTATGCAACATCTCCATCATCACAGAAAGTTCTACTGAACAGCACTGATCTAGATTTAACCTTCCAGGGGCCCACTCTTTAAGTCATGCACAAGATTAAATTTAATTATATTTTTAAAGAAAATACTTTAGAGCTTACTGATCATAAAGTATGACCGGAACTGAGAACCAATTTGCCTTTTCATCACTATTTATGCCCCAGGTCATTATACAAAAAATTTCCAAAGACAATGCTTCTTGGTAGAGTACTTGGCTCTACCTGACATGTTAAACATTCTCTTGCTAATGTCAAGATAATTAATAAAGATGAAAATTCATGCTTCTTATAGTTTACTATTTACACAACACTCGTCCATATAAAGGGAGGGAAAAAAATCAATGTTTTGCAACTTTAAAAGTCCAAATCACATGGTTTGACCGTTTTAAATGTCCATACCCATCATAAATCAGTCCTCCTTTTGTTTCCCAGAGGTAGATGCTAACTAAAACGAATCTATAAATCTACAAAAAAAAAAAAAAAACACCTTAAAGCAATAGTCAAGTTAGTAAAGGATATTCATCAATCCTGAAAAGGATCCTAGCAATGTGGATAGGCTGGAGAAGGGAGAGGAAAGCGAGACAGCAATGGCAAATTCTCGACCCCCTTTGCTGCAGAATAACAAGCTGCTGCGAACCTCAGTGAGCCTCAGTGAACTCATCTACAAAATGGAGCCACCAGAGGTTGCTTTCAGCTCTTTCTGTGCTTTTAGTCCTTTCAGTTGTGGTTTTTAAATGATGTGCAACGGTGAATTCTGCTGATTATGTTATTGGGCTATTTTCACCTGGGGTAGATTGGTTGTTAGTGTCATTGGTAAATGCCAGAAGAGGCCAGAATAATGGGATGCCAAATCAAATCATTCAGCCTATAAAAATTCTACCTGGTAGGGTGGTCCCTAACCCTACACACACACACACACACACACACACACACACGAAAGCATATCCTAACAAACAGGTGCTCAAGTAACTTTAGATGGAATCCGTTTAAATGATGTGTCTTACATCAGTAACACTCATACAAAAAAATTCCAATTCGGGTTGCTACTGTGTTAAGTTGTAAGGTCAGGTATGTATCACAGAGCCGATTAAGTTCACACTGTTTAATTGCATATCTAGCGTGGGATTGTTTTTAAGTAAAAGTCACATAGTCGTTTTACTCTAGGCCTCGCATGGGGAGACACAGGGTGCTGCACTGTCTCTCACACGAGTGTCTATATATAACCTACTTAACAAGTAGAATTCTACCACACACTACACTGCAGTTCAGTCATTTCATACCGTACATTAACGTGTGTAGATAGCACTCAGAAAATTAACTTGAATATGCCATGGCTTAAAATTGCCAGGGTAAAGCCCATTTTGAAATGTAGCATTCATAAAGCAACATTTCTGTGGGTTTGTTTTTTTTTGTATTTTTTGCCCCAAGAGGAATAAAAATTAGGTCAGACATGCATTACAGCAGCCTGGGAGAGTTTTTGAGAATTGACACTAACCCAACAGTATATTACATTACATAATACAGGCCATTATTCAGCTAATATGATACCTAAATTATTCAAACCAAATAAATCCTAGATTATTTGTTGAATAATGTCCAATAGCTTACACAATAAAATGGCATTTCAATCTAATTTCTAGTTTGAGCTTTCAAATAAATTTCCTAAAGGTCTTAATGACAAATTTGAAAGATTAGAAAAATCATAGTTTCATTTTGAATCCTCATGTCAATTAACTAGTGTTAGCTTTGTATTATAGTCTTTATATTTTTTGTTTTATCTGATATGAATCCCATTACTTTAATGTGCCTATTTTGTGCTGCTTGAAGATAAGAGTTATCATATTAGTAAATGAAATTATGTCTCAATTTTAAAGTGGTATTTTCTAGCCCTGCTTTTTGGAACCAACCACTGCTTATCCTCCCGCACATTTCCATGGATTCAATGGAACATAAAGACAGAAAAATTTATGAGTGGCATCTTTGTCACATACCACTTGCTTCATGATTTCCACAAAAGAAATGAGGAGAGAACTGTAAAGCTCACAGCTGTTTCCGAATGCACACATGCCCAGTGACAGGAACTTCTCTTTTAACACAAGCGGATCTTTCTTCATGAGCATCTGTAGACCGTTAGGTTTAGGAATATGTGAGAATCTATGATGAACTGGTCCATTTGAAATGGGAATATCGGTTGTTTACTACTTTTCTCAATAAAAACATATTTTGAAATACCAGAGATTTTCTTGCTTATACCAGCAAGAAGAAACTGGAATTCTACTAAGTGGTTTAACTCCCATGGAACATCTTTCCAAAAACAATCATAGCCTGTCTATTAAAATACATGCCCAGGTTTGCCACCAATTAACAGTACTCATGGTTATTACAATACCTAAAAACTGGGAGGAAAGACAGACTCTTGTTCACCACTTTTGCCCTGTTTCAGTACAGGACTTAAATACACAGAGGAGGGAATGTTGAAGGAGATGTATACTTGGCACCTCACCAGGAGGGTCCAGGTGCCCTCAGGTGGTCACCATTTCAGACACTTTACTCACGCCAACGACATTTTACTCCCAGGATTCTTTCAGAAAAGACTTAAAAACCTGAGGTACATCAAATTACACACACACACAAACATATACACACAAATACACAATATTTACATTTTAAATTCTTATCTTGTGAGAATGGCTTGAGAAAAATTGGCACACAGGTTTCCTGTGGGATTAGGCATTTCTCATTATTACTCAGTTTATTGCTCCCCTGTTGGGCTTTCAGTTTCATAAACACACAGTGAGCTCTAATTACAAGTGAAGAAGAATGAAGGTACATGACAAAACACAACACACTGGAAACACTTGTTCAAATACTTTCTCAAAAAAACAAACAAACAAAAAACCAATTGTCCATTGAACTTATTTTAATTTGGTGCAATTCAAAATGTATAAAAAGCCTTAGCCACTAAAGGAAGACAGGGTTTCATAAAAAGAAAAAAGAAACCAGCATGGCATATCTCCACTGAATTTTTACATGGATTCAAAGGTTGAATTCTACTTGTATACACAGCATTTCTGTTTTAATCTACTGCATTTAGAGAAGATCACATTGTATGTACTTGTAGTTTCACATCTAAGTAGAATATGTCTATCACATGATTTTGAAAAATCATAAATTACAGTCCGTTTAATAAATGATTATGAGGATACATGCAACCATCTTCAAAGCTGTTGCCATCAACACTCAGAACAATTTGCCTGGTGTCCTGATGAGGCTTTGCATTCCGCCCTTCACGGCTACCTTCGGGTTAAATCAGTGGCAACCCAGAGGCCAGTGCTCGGCACCCAATGGTCAGTGTTGCCCCCTCTTCTCACCGGGATCCCATCACCAACACCTGCTCACCCCCTAAGTTGGCACCCACAAGAGACTCGCCTCTGCAGCTCCTTTCAGCCACAGGATATCACAGTGAAGCGCTTAGAAATGCAGGACATGTTGTGGAGCACGATGCCGAGAAGGAAGACCAAGACGCAGGCCACCAAGATCACAGTGCACACCCCGGACCAGGTCGAGCTTTTCACCACGCCCCGCCTGTCTTGCTCCTCCTCCGTGGCCTCCAGGGACGCCCCGCCTTGCAGAGGCTGCTGCTCAGCGGGGATGGTCACCACAGCCACCGACTTCTGCTGGCTCCCAGGCAGTAGCCGGCAGCCCATGTCGCCGGGCAGCAGCGCGCGCTCCTTGGAGATGGGCAGGGGTAGCATGTAGCACCCATTGCTGGGGAGTTTGATGAAGACCGGGGTGTGCTCCGAGGTGTGCGGGATGGCGATGACGGCGAGGACCTCGGGGTCATCAGGAAGCTGTGACACAGAGAAGCCGGGGGGCAGCTTGGTGATGCCGCGACACCAGGGGCAGCGCACGTCCTTCTGGCTCGTCCTCATCTGCTGGAGACACACTGAGCAGCAGGTGTGCTTGCAGTCCAGCAGCTTGGGCCTGCGCCGCGGGCTGTAATAATTGAAGCAGATCTGGCATTCCAGCAGAGAATCCTGGGAGAGCGTCTCCATCGTGGACCGGAAGCGGGAAGGCCAGGTCCTGGACCGAGGGCAGGGGTTTTTCCTTAGCGCCCACCACACCTGCACCTTCCTTCTTTGCGCGGTTCCAGTGCCAGGATGGGGTCCACGAGCTCACAGGCATCTAGCATACTCAAGTGTGCACATTTCTGAAGGAGACAAAAAATGGAAAGTTAATC